AAAATATTATAATAAATTATAAATTTTAATTTTAATTATAATTTAAATTTTTTAATTAAATATCCCTTAATATAAATTATTCATCACGGTATAGGTGTCTCTCCGGTCCGAACCCTTTATGTTATATAAAAGTTAAATATTGATTAAAAAAATATATAACAGATAACTGTAGAAAGAGAGTATACCATAGGAAAAGATATATAGAAAAAAATGGGGAAGCTACTTTCTTTTCTTTTTTTTTTCTTTTTTTGACAAAAACAGCATATCATAAATTTTTTTTTTATTTACATATATCTCAATTCGCAGCCATTAAATTAGGATAAAAATATAATAAACCGTTGAAAATAGAGTTATTTTTTTTTACCGGCAAAACGCCAAAACCACTAGACACAAATAAATAAATAAATAAAACGTAGAAGCCGTACATCCAGTCCAAAAAAAAAAAAAAGGATGTATCTGTAATTCTATTTTTTTCACAGTAATTCCAACTTTGTTCGGCAGTCACGACTCACACGGCATTGTGAGTCTCATGACTCGTGGTTTATCAATCTGAAACTTATCGAGCCAAGAAAATTAAAACAAAAATCAGATTACGTATCGTAAAAAAATCTTATACAGTAAAAATACACGTGAAGAATAATGATTCTATTCTTTTTGCTGATTTAAATTTAAAATTTAAATTTTATTACAATAAAAAACTCTAAAAAATAATTACATTTAATTTTTTTATTATAATAAAAAATTTTCACATAATATCACTTCTTAAATATTTCTCTTTCCTCCGTTGACTTACTTGGCATTAATAATTTTTTAAAAATAACGTAGCTTCCAAAATGCAACGTACAGCGCACGACCAGTTAATAAATATAAAATATCCACAATTTGTCTCCTTTTCTATACAAGTTTCCAAAGACAACCACAAGAACAATAACAACAGAGCAATCTAGGTATGGACTTGTTGAGTGTAATTCTACTTGTGATTCTCACATGGGCACTAATCAGAACCGCCCATTCCATCACAAGACCAAACCCCAACATCTCCGGCAAGCTTCCGCCGGGACCGAAGCCGTTACCGGTGATCGGAAACCTCCACCAGCTCGGCGACAAGCCCCACAAGTCCCTCTCTCGTCTGGCCCAACTCCACGGGCCTCTTATGAGCCTCAAGCTCGGCCAAGTCACGGCCATCGTCGTCTCTTCACCGGCGATGGCCAAAGAAGTCCTCCAAACTCACGACCAGCACTTGTCGAACCGCACCATTCCCGACGCCCTCCACATCCTCGGCCACCAGCACACAGGCCTCCCATGGATTCCGGTCTCGAACCACTGGAGAACTCTCCGGAAGATCTGTAATACCCAGTTGTTTGCTGTCAAAGTTCTTGATACGAATCAGGTAACGGAATTTGGATTTTCTAACCTTTTATAAATTAGTCTTTATTCTTGTTTTAACGATGCGGAATTCGGTCTTTTTTTTTTTTTTTTTTTTTACCCTTTACATCAGGAACTAAGAAGAAGAAAAGTCAGGGAGCTTTTTGAGGGCGTGAGGAGAAGTGGGTCAGCCGGAGAATCCGTTGATATTGGGAGCGAGGCTTTCACGACGACGCTGAACTTGCTTTCGAACACCATTTTTTCGGTGGATTTGGCGGATCCTAAGTCGGAGTTGGCTAGGGAGTTTAAGGAGGTTGCTTGGGGTATCATGAAGGAAGCGGGGACGCCAAACTTGGGAGACTATTTTCCTTTGCTTAGGAAGATTGACCCGCAAGGTATTAGGCGTCGGATGACGGTTCATTTTGAGAGGATTTTGAGCTTGCTTGATGGGATGATTAACCAAAGGTTGAGAGTTAGAGAATCGTCTGGTGTAGTTCATGGTGATGTCTTGGATACACTTCTAAACATCATTGAAGAGAAAACCGAGGACATCAACAGACACCAGGTCTTGCATTTCTTACTGGTAAGTAATTATTCTTTACTTAAAACAAATTCATTGAATTTACGTATTTTTCTTGATTTTAGTATGATGTAGTTCTTAAATAATTTTACGACGAGGTGCTCTAAGGGTGTAACTATACAACTTAAAACACTGCGGGTGTAACGGTGTTATTTAAAAGATTTTTTAAACACCGTCTGATTTAAATCTGACCCTCATGATCAACGGCTTAACCGTAAAATATCTCTATTATTATCCTGGTTGGATTATGTTACTTTTCTCATTCAGGCATTTCATCGAACAGGTTCTGTTCGTGGCGGGGACGGACACAACAGCCTCCACGTTCCAATGGGCCATGGCGGAGCTGCTCCGAAACCCGGAAGTCCTCTCCAAAGCGAGAGCGGAACTCAACCAGATCATCGGAAAAGGAAAACAAGTCGAGGAATCAGACATTGCTCGTCTTCCTTACTTACAAGCAGTAGTTAAAGAGACTTTCCGGTTACACCCGGTAGTCCCATTACTCCTCCCTCGCAGAGCAGAAACGGACGTGGAAATCGGAGGCTTCAAAATCCCAAAAGGAGCACAAATTATGGTGAACGCGTGGGCCATAGGGAGAGATTCGGGCACTTGGGAGGACCCAAATGAGTTTAAGCCGGAGAGGTTCTTGGGATCGGAGATCGACGTTAGAGGACGGAGCTTTGAGCTGATACCGTTTGGCGCCGGGAGAAGAATATGCCCCGGTTTGCCTTTGGCCATTAGAATGCTTCATTTGATGTTGGGGACGCTTATTCACTCCTTTGATTGGAAGCTTGAAGATGATAAGAAAGATGTTGATATGGACGATAAGTTTGGAATTACCTTAGAAATGGCTCGGCCTTTGCGAGCCGTGCCCAGTCCTGCTCAAGGATAAAAAAATAAAAAATAATAATAATAAAAAAACTCTTAAGCCCGTTTAATTTACTGATTTGAGTTTTTAATTCGAGTATAGATATGAATTTATGTGAAAAATTTTTACTGTAATAAAAAAATTAGATGTGACTGTTTCTGAAAACTTTTTACTGTAACAAAATTTGAATTCTAAACTCGAATTAGTGAAATTAATAAGACTTTAGTATTTATCTAAATAAATGCTTTCATTGACAAGCATCTTGATTCCTCTTGGATATTTTTTTTGCTCGATTTTGTTAAATTTTTAGACAAATTTTAATATAATCTTGATGTGATTTTGTGGTCTAAAATTGTCTTGATATTGTGGTCTAAAATTGTCTTAGTGTGGATTTTTTTTGGGATATTTATATTTATATACTCTATGTTTGAATTTATTTAAAATTTATACTTTCGTTATTTTATCTCATCAAATATATATGTACAAATTAGATTTAATGTAAAAATTTATATTTTATCTCGGTCAATTAATGTGCATCTTTAAAATGAGTAAATTATCTTTAAAAAAAATTTAAAAAAATAAAACTTTAAGTTTAAAATTTTTATTTTTTTCATTTAAGGATATTTTAGGTATTTTAATGTTAAAATCGAGGGTTGGTTGTGAAAAAATATAAACTTAGGTATTAAATTTAATTTCAAGAGATATATTTGGTAGATGGATTCGTTTCCTGATTCGAATCATGATTCGTGGTTCGCTACAGTATTTTCTCTCACAAAAAATTCACGTAAATCGAAAATAGTTTGAATCACATGGTTTGAATCTTCCAACCAAATGTCCTCTAATTGTTTTGCGTCGTACACAAATTTCATCATTGTTTTATGCTTTATTGTCGTTTCCCTTTCTTTCCTTCTTTCTATTTTTTCACAACCTTTTATAGTCGCCTCTCTCTCCATGCCTTTTTTTTTTCTTTTTGAATTGGGATGGGAAAATTGAACTCTTAACCTTAAAATTGGAGGCTAGCGTATGAACTTGTGGGATATATTGGGTGCGTTTGGAATTGGTTCCAAAACGTTTTTGTTTTTTGTATGAAAATGAAAACAAAAACAATTTTATTTTCATTTTGGAATCATTTCTAAAAATGCGTTTGGTAGTTTTATTCAGAGATTGATTTCAGTTTTAAAAAAATTGAAACTGCGTTTGGTGGTTTAATTTTTGAAAACATGTAATAATATATTAAATGAACGTTAATAGAAGAGTAGGGGGGGCAGTCGAAGAAGAGCGGCGGCGGCGGGCAGTCGGAGAAGAGAGCGGCGGCGGCAGGGGAGGAGGGGCGCGCAGTTGCAGACGCCCAGGGGGGG